GTCAATTAAGACGAGAGATGCTGACTGATAATTTTACTTATGAAGACAAGGGCATAAGTAGGGCGATAAACGAAGCTTCATCCGTTGAGGTCTTCGTTTAGGCGATATACTCAATTAATCAGGAATAGACAAAAGCGTAATCAGCGGTGTAACTAGAGCATTTAGGACCCCTGGTGGATTTAATAAGGTTCATCCCCTCCCCCGCTCTCAAAAAGTAATTTTTAAGTATTCTTGACATCTTGACCTGTTCATCAGTGTGGCCCTTAGTGGACTGCCCCTTCAGTCTTACATTCGCCATTGCGACGCTTTGCTAAATAAATGCATCTTCAGCTAAAATATAATCTATAATATAAATCTATAATCTTCAGCTTTTTTGTAGTATTTATTCTCTTCCATTCCCAGCTATTTATACATTCATTTTTTTTATTTTTTTTTATTCCAGAATATATTATTTAGTTTATTGACTTTTTTTTTCTCATTCCAAATATATTTTTTAAGTTATTTTAAGAGTCTAATGGGCCATTTTAATTTCAAAGGATTTAAAAATGTTAGAATTTGTGTTTTTAGATATTTTTTGGTGCTAAAAAATGTGTCGATTCCTCAAGATATGCAGATTTTATTTGTTTGAAGACCCAGTCAGTTTGGATTAATCTTGGTGCAAATTTTTCTTTCTTATTGGCCAATTAGAAAAACTGCTTTGTTAAATTTCATATTCAGATACATATGATAAGTTTTAATTTTGTCACTTTGTTTACACAGAATAATTGGTATCACGATATTGGAAAATTACACAAGACAGTTCCAATCGTTTATGAAAAAGTTTTTTTTTTCTGATAGCAAACTTAGACACACATTGCAGATTTGGGCCAATCCATATACCTATATAAACTCCAGACCCATCCGAACCCACTTGTTTTCAGCCTTCCTTGCTCCTCAACTCCTGATAATTCTTTATTTATTTTCCGGAAATAAAAAGATAAGGATAGTAAGCATTATATCTGTTCATTAGCAATATATCTGTAAATAGTTGGTGTTTGTAATGAGAAAAATTTGATAATCCTTATTGGAAAAAAAAAAATTAAGGCACATAAAATTATAAGGATATATTACTTTATTTTAAAAGACCGGTGCTTCTGTTATTGATATTATTGATCAACATCAGAATCAAAATACAATATTGATATCTAATCATAATTAATGGCTTAATGGGTTACTGAGTAAGATTACTACGTCCCGAAAGCATACGAGTAACTAATATTTTCATTTTTAAAAATATGTTAATAAATATTTACTTTTATTATAATTTAAATTTTTTCTATAGAATTATGTTGAATAAGCATTGGGGACAGGGAGTGTGCAAAACATGAGTTGCCCGGCTACCTGATAAACCAAAGATTACATGATAAAATAATTAGTGTTATTAGAATTAATTAATTAGAATGATCATAGTTTGCATCCCGGTGCCGGAGGGAGAAGAGCGGCTTTTAACTATGATATTAATCTCTCACCATCTCCCCTGACCTGAGAAAAACCCTGTATAGCCGACAAAAACAAAATGTTGAATAGTCATATTAATTTCTCATTGAAATTAGATAATAGCTGTAATTTTTATTGGGATTTTTTAAAATTTTATATTCATTCATTTAGCATATTTGTTGTATAATTTACATCTGTAGGATACATTTTATAATGAACAGCAGGTAGTTAATGAAACATGAGCGATATGAATTTCTTCTATCAGATGATATCGATATTTCCTTTCCATCCTGAAACCCACTTGAAGGGATGAGCGACAATAACAATAAATAAACCATAGCTAATAAAAACAATATGTCTGGATAATGTAGAATAAAGTAAAGTTATGAGAGATGACAATTGTTGCAGTAGCTGTGTGTCATTTGGTGCCTCTCTGAAAGACTGAAGAAACTTTGATGTTTGAATAAGTTAAGATGAGAAAATGCTCAGATCGTCGTGTTGTGGATTTGATTCCCACCTGAAACTATAATTATTTATTTTGCGGTGCTCCCACGAAATGAATCTAGACGTTTCCACTGAGGTAAAGACTAATCGGTAAGAATGATAGTCATTGAGGGTTGGGAAAATTATAATAGCTGGACTGGTTCCCACAACATAACCAGTACTATAACTGGATGGATTTGTGATATAAAGTTATTTTATACTGTAGCACGAAAGCAGCACTGGGCCCCGTACCTATACCCTCAGGGCGTGTATCTGGGTTGCCCATTCCTAAGACCAGTATTGATCAAATGGTTAATGCTGATTGTATCATTATTAAATTTAGTTAAATGAATTAAAGTTTATGTTATAATGAATTTAAATCAAAGTTAAATGAATGCAGTGATTAAGTTTGGTTTATCAAAGTTGCCCCATATATACGGTTTCTGATGACAGGATTATATTCCCCCTGAAGACCTTAGTAAATTCCCATCAATGCTACTAATAAAGCAGGTCAATATCTCCATGTGATGATTGGTACATTTGAACGATAAATTGTAACCAAGGACATCATAAACAAGGGGTCGATAGAAGGCTCTATGGTACCACTTTGCATTTACTCATTACTTCATGACATTTATTCCTCCTTCCCTACAGAAAACGTATAATCATCAGAGAAACTCACAGATAAGTTTAAAAAGATAAACCAATCTTAATATGATCAGCCATTTTGCCAACTGTATTCGTTAGCAGGTTGACTGAATATTTAATGTAAAAGAAAAAATATTGTTTACGATTGTTATTTCTCCTTTGCTGTAAGTGATGTAAATAGCACAAAGAGCAGTTTGGAACTGTCGAATTTAAACAGAAAATGTTACTGATCGAAATTCGTTCAACAATGACATATCTTTAATATATACCAATATTGGAGCTGTAGACAAAGTGAAGAAAGTAGAACGTATAACTTTATGCATGTTCTGTCATTAACAGAGCCATATGGGAATCGCTCAAGAAAAATGGATATGCAGCTAAACTATCAAATAAACTACATAAGTATGAACAAATATTGTTGGTTTATTGTAGTAAATATTTGCATCTTGCTCGATATTTCTTCCCATCACTTTGATTTTGGAGGTAATTGTTTGGGAAAAAAAGAAAAATTGAGGCCTAGTTTCCTGAAAGGGACCAACCATACTCATCGAATACAAAAGTAATGAAAATGAGATCTGAATGATTGTGGGTGTTTTCCTTAGACCTATACTAACAGTCGTCTCTAAATCTCTGAAATTTAAAACTTTAAGCTTAGTCCATGAAAAACCTCTTGGAATTGTGGCTATGAATCAGAAACTGTATTCAAAGGTAACAAGATATTGATGCTGCTGCTGAAAACATGGCAGGATCCTGACATTGTTGTGAAGTTTTAGGAGTCCTTACAGTACCAGCACCTAAGTCGTGACATAAATTGCCTGAAACCTTATGGGGAACATCGCAATGGATTGCTTGGACCTTTTTCCTTAAGGTGGTTATATGCTGGTGAACTCAGTCGTTATATGAAAGTGATAATAATGAGGATGATTACAGTTACTAACAAAATCAAGCAGTTAGATAAACTCTTTAGTATGTTTTGTTTTCCTAATCCCATTACTGTTAACCATTAGAATCAATTTACCTCTGGTGAGTTTAGTCTTTCCAACAATATCAAATTATACCGTTCACCTCTCTTTTGGCCACAAGCCAATGCAGTTGACAGGCAAAATAGAATGTTTCTAAAAATTTAAATTTAATTTGGGAAGACTAATCAAAGAGGATTGAAACTAGAAATTACAATATTACTTGCTCCAGTATCATGTCATACCATATTCTGTTATAGAGGTACCACCAAGAGAATTGTTCTTCAGGTCGAAAATCAGAACCGAAATTACTTGTCTTACCAGTGCATTGACCAACAAGGATGTGGTGAACGATAAATATACATTTCATAAAGATGTGGAGAGCAACAACGAAACAGTTTTCTTAATAAGATTTGGTTTTTCAGAAGCTTGACACCAAGACCAATAAGTTGGCAAGCACATTTCATCCTATTTCATACAGAGTAGTGGAAATATGGTTACAGTTGAGGAAACAGATAGTGTTAGGTTGACACAAGACTTAAGTTGCTTCAAACCTTAAATGATATCCAAAGAGACAGCTGCATCAAAATTTTGCTTCTAAATTGTCAGGAAATGAATCCAGTGACATTTATCAAAACTATTCTCCAGTCTCCCATTTGCAGAAAAGAACATTTCTACTTAGTTACAGACTTTTATTTCATTTTTATTATTTTAAAGAAAATAAGGGGTGTACAGAGAGGCAAAACTGTTTAGGTAAAAATTAGTAAAAATTAACAACATATAAAAAATGTGTATCATTATTAAATTTAGAGAAATCCTAAACAAATTCAATAAAAGTTATTTCAACAAACCACATGAATGACTATAAAAAATAATCATGTTCCTCCTTTTGGGATATTGCTTATAACATGGAATAATAGAAAGAAAGAAGTACACCAAAGAATGACACATGAAGGCAAAATTATTTTTAAAAATAACCAACTAAAATAAAAATTATGTACTTCAATTATACTCTTAGTATACTATAATTAACTTATGTTTGTTCAGACAACATAATATAAGCCATATAATGTAAGACCTAGCAATCCACAGAAATTAATAAATCACATTAGTATTATAGACATCAAAATATTTAAAGTTAAATTAGATATGTGAGCTTGATTAATGGTAGTTTTATTAGAATTTATCAAAAGATTTATGGATACACTCACACATGTTTTATGTGTATATATCGCATACGATATATTGTGTATATTTGTGTGTGTGTGTATATAAATATGTGTGTGTATATATATATATATATATATATATATATATATATATATATATATATATATACAAGATTTTTATTACATTAAGAGTTAATTTTTTTCATCTTAATATTCATTAAGGTAGTCATATTATATTTATAACAAAAATGAATTTTAGAAGTGGTTCACTTATTAATTTATTTTTATTATGGACAATGATCATTTATAATACCATTTGATGTTTGTCCCAAACATGTATGGGTCATACATAAACTTCAGTTAGTAATTAACACAATAACGATAATATACAAAATAAAATCATGTAACTAAGCAAAATTATGGACAGGAATATAAATATGTACATACATGCATTAAAATATTAATAGCTTTGAAGATGTAACTAAATAAATTAGATAATAAAAAAAATTATAATAATCATAAAAGTAAATAAAATATAACAATTTAATTGAGTTTAAAGAAATCTGTTTATATATATTTTTCTTTTTTTAATAACAAGTTCCAAGCTGTTACATACATATAATTACACCAATAAATGATTATAACAGAGTATTTATAAACATCTACTTACCCACTTACCCACACATACATAACACATACACACACACATTTGAAACTGACAGTCAAAAGTTCATGCTGCTTTGTTTGTTATCATGCAACATTAAATCCTGATTGGCACTCAATTTTTGGTATGAAATTATAAAAAAAAACAAAAAAAACATAATTGTGAAAAACGTTAACTATTTATTAAAAATTAAATGATAAACATACAAAAAAATATATAATAAATATGCATGTGCAGAACTATTACATTGGCTCTCATTCCATAAATAAAATATTTGCATTGTTCTTTTTGTAATAAAAATACTTTTAAAAATACAATATTAATATCTGAACTTATCAATACCATAGATACAGTTATTATTTTAAATGTCAATCAACATAGAAACTCATTTTCAAATTGAAAGAAAGAACGATTAGAAAATAATACCAATTATTTATGGACATATCATTAAAAAACTTATCTCTTTTAGAGCATTTTATATTTTCTAAAACTAACTGTTACTTTTGATTTTCAGTCTTTCATATTATAATGTAGATATTTAATGAAATGACTTATGATGAATTACAATAATGAAGAATATTATAGATTTTAGGAAATTTCAAAATTTAATATATTTTAAAGTAAATTATTTAAATTAATTTCTGACAGCTTGCATTGCAAGTTGCGAGTTAAACAAAATATTAAATAATACTTCAGGTATTTCATATATTTCATACTAATCTTATACATAATTATAGTAACTTTTGCAACCATCTTAAGCAGGAACTAAAACAGTAAAACTAGAGAAACTAATCTATAATAAAGAACAACTACAACATTTATGTCTACTAAAAATAATAATAATCACCATAAAAATAATGATAATGAAATAAAAATAATTACATGCAAATAACAAAAATTATTAACTAAAATAATTCATTTAAATGAAAGCAGTGCCAAAAGATTCATTAATCACATTAAATTTAAATGAAGAAAAGAAAATATTAGATTATAGCACATAAGAATCTATAAACATAAAATCCATGCTACAGTCTATGCTCTTCAACAGTGTTATCTACTGACGTTGGTGGCTTATTATTTTCTCGTGCCTGTTGTCTTTCACGATTTATACGATACCTTTCAGCTGCAACACTTTCCATTGTACGACGCATCAGTGGATACTGGTCAAGCACAGCATTGAAATGTTCAACTGAAAGTGAGAATAGGTTGCAATATGTCTCTGCTCTAACACTAGCTACTCTTCTTGCATTTGTTAAGAGACATATTTCTCCAAAATAAGAACCATCACTTAAGCTAGTTGCCACTTCACCATTTGCCATAACTATATCAACAATACCTTCCTGTATGAAATACATCTTAGTGCCAATAGTTCCTTCTTTGATTATTATATCTCCTAGGAAAACAAAATAAATGATTAAGAAAAATGTTTGTAAAAAGTCTCCTATTTATGAATCATTATATAGTTTCTCATACTGAAACGAAACCAATTAAATATACACTCTATAATTTCTTTACTTACAAAAAAATGTATAAATATATTTTTTTATACCAAAATTTATATTTTTATACTGTTTATTATACTGCATAAAAATGATTATTTGTATACAATATCACTTAATTCATATTTTAATATCGATTTTATAATATATTACTAACAAATGAAAAGCATAAAATGTGAATATACTCATAACGGTCACAGATTAGTTAATATGGCTAATTAATGAGGCTTTGCAATGGTTGAAAACTTTTTCTACAAAGGATAATCCATCTAGCAATTGAAAAGATTGAAAAACTGTTACATAATTCACAGCATTATTTAAGCTGAGTTTATGATGGCTGAGCATGTTAAAATGTGGCCATGTAAACACTGTCATGTCTAGAGGGGTCGGTTCAAATATGGCTTGGGTAGGTCGAAATTTATATTGTAATGGATCCACAGGATGAATCCTGACCTTCTCACTCTGTTTAGAATTGGTTTGATTGCACCTCTAGAATCCCTTCCCATATACCAGCAATGGAGATGTAGGAGGTATTATTTAAACCAAAGAAATGAGTCTAACCTTTTGGAAGTCTAGTCATTTATAGGTACATTAGGCACCTCTGATTGTTATCCATTGTCTTCAGTTGTTATCCAATGACTTAAAGACTTTTATAAACCGTAAACACCAATTCAAATCATGAAATGCAATGTTTTAAAGCTGAAGGGCAAGTTATATATGACATAATAAACTTTCAATAACTAAGGGAAGAGAGATTTAAAAATAAAAAGATTAATTCAACGATGTTTAAAAAATAACTTATAGTTACTCCATTCCCACTCCCATAAACGCTACTGAATGGCAAACTTCCCTCAAAAATTGATATTATTCTGGATACATATGCCATCTCCAAGATTTCAAGATTACTGTTCTCATGTCACAATCAAATCCATAGATGACTCTTCTTCAGATTCATAAGAGACACTATAAACAATAACACACCTACCAATAAAAATAACTCCCAACATACCAACTTGCCACAGCATATCTGTATCTTATTAAAGGAAAAACACAGAGTAAGATCGAATTAGTACAAGACTAGATAAACATCATATAAAACATATTAAACCAAGTTAACTAACCAATTAAAAGCAGCAATTAGAAAATCCTGAATTTACTTGACAGAAAATCTTAGTACTGAAAAATTACTATGATTGACCCCTAAAGAGCTTCTGAAATTAAAAGATTTTAATAATCCACTTATTACAGGAAATCAAACCTGATTTGACTAAGACAAATCCCTATTATTTGCTCAGCACCTCTTCAAAATTCACATCCAGATATCCTGATCCAATCCATCTTGAATGTATTGAAGCAGAATCGGATATTACATTCCAATTGAACCTTCTGCTAATAAATTTCCATCCTTCAGAAATTTCCAACATCATACACTGTTTACCATCCTGCAAAGCTTCTGAACACCACCTTATTACATTCCATATCTTAAAGCTTCTTCCTTGAAAAATTATTTTGTTCCTCATCTATATTTACAATGCCATTCTCAGATCAACCTGTTCCTGACCCTGACCCATTATAAAAATGATTCCAAAACCCAAAAAGTCACTCTAGTAGCCATTAAAAACCATTCCAGAAACCTAATAGAAATTTCAGCACCATACTTTTAGTGGAAAACCTTTCAGGTCAATAGGTAGTGAAGAATCCACTAATCATTGATAAATCTCAGTGTCATAGAATTGAATATCTATAATTTAGGAAAATAAGCAATATCCGCCCATCACAGTGAGAAGATCTTGTAGAAATATGTATAAGAGGTTAGGTTAATGGATCTGTTAAAAGATTCTGGAGAAGAGACTTACAATGTTATAAAGAGGCTCAAAAAAAAAAAAATTCTGTATGTCAAGAATAGGAGGGAAACATTTACTTAATAGAGGAGAACCTGTAGTATGGGAAATAAGTACAAACCTAATTGAAAATAGCAGTTATATAGAATGCTGGAAGCTAAGAAGTAAAATTAGACTACGCCCAAGTTGTCAGCTTTTCCCTTAAAGAAATTCAATTTAATATTTTTGGTAATACAAATATTTTATTATTTTAAAATATATTATACAAGATTTAGTAGCAGTGGCCATAAATGTACCAATTGATCATAGAAAAAAGAAGATACTTATTTTTTTGGCTTATTTCCCTGGTAACAGAGAGAATGTACCTTCCAAAGAAAGTAATCTTGATTGTGAAGCAAAAGGATATGAATAATTCAACTAAGTAGCATTATAGCATCTCTATGAAAAATAATTACAATTACAACCTAAATTGACAAACTGTCAACCATAAATGTACATTATTTTCCTATAATTATAAAAAAAGTATGGATTGAGTAAAAACAACAAAAAAATATCCTATTAACCGGACAAAGGTATATAAATAAAAAACAAGTATTAAATTTCTATTTAAAAAAATGTATATTAAAATAATTAAAAAACAGTGAACCTAATTGTCCTATCATAGGCCAGAAAAATATAATGAAACAAAATATTAGATATATTTTTAAAATCAAATTAAGCATTAAAATAAATATTTATCTTATGGAAAACATTTTTCATGAATTTCATGTTTCATGAAAATCATCAAAAGAAATGGCAGGAAATGATTATTTTAGTTGCATGCAGTGTAAAATAGTGGTTTAACTTGAACTAAGAAATACTTATCAATATTTAATCATTCTTTATTTTAATTAATTACCTGGTTGAAAGACTTCATAACGAAGTTTAGTTACAACATCAGATACAAAGTTTCCATCAGCATTAGCAAAGAAAGGTACTGATGCCACTAATGAACGGCAGTTGTAGTTAATAACATCCTAAAAATAGGTTAATAAACACGTTTAAAAAATATATAACTTCATTGAAACCACTTTAACTTATGCACTAGGTGAGCAATAACCATGAAGAAATATATATTTGAATTTTTTTTTTCTTACAACTTTAGATACATATATGAGCCATTTATTTTGAAAGTGGCCTAAGTCCATTTGTCAATTATTTCCGGTTGTCCTTGGTTACATGGACAACTTCAAGTTATATACCAATAAAACATTTGAGGTTACATATATCCTGAATAAATACAATAATTTTAGACACATAACTTTTCAGAGTTAGTTCATTAATTGATCTGTTTACTTTGAAAGTGGCCTAATTTCCCTCAAAATTTTTATAATATTATCAAAAAGTGTCAGAAAGATAATAACTTTATTGTAAATGAAATGAAACAAGAAGATTTTGCACCAAAAAATGTATTAATAGACGCAATTTTTAAAAGGGTAAAGAATTTTAACGGACAATCATTGAACTAGTTAAAAATATGTCGGTTGCATTTTGTCATAAGCAGAATGTATCAAATTTTCTATAAGACATCAATGGACAGTGCCTTCTTAGACATTCGGCACCTCTGGGTAATGATGTCATCTTCCTCCCTAAACAATTAAATTAATTTCTTAAGCTGTTTTATATAATGCAATATTTGTATTTTATTTCATTCAACATTCCTCTAATACAGTAGCTTAATTGATAGGCTAAAATTAATTATTTTAATACGTTTTGTATTTTTTTTTTTTTAATTTCTAACAAGTGGCGAGCGTCCCTGAAGATTGGCCAGCAACCCCAACAGGCACCTCTCCAGGTCGGCACCCTGGGGCCATTCGCCCCAGTTGCTCCACCCTAAGTCCGGGACTGTTAATAAATGATAATGAAATTTTTTAAGTTCTGGATTTGTTCTGTAGTTCTGTAGTTAAAAAATGTTTTGAATTGCATAAATTATGTTTTTGAAATGTTTTAACAATATATAAAATAAATTGAGTATTGTTTTTTCAATTTGAAGCATCTTAAGTTATGTCGAATGGACTTGGGCTTCTTCAAATTTTATAACGAATCTTCTTGTTAATTTTAAATGCAGCCTAACTTCATTCTTAGTAAGAAAACGCTTAAAATATTATTCACTTAATAATTGAAATTATTTTAATAGGGACTATTAATTTAAGTCCTTTTGATACCTTTAAGCAGTATGACTCATTAGTATCTTGTATGTATATTTTTAATTTAATTAAAATGTGAACCCTCAAATATCTCAATTTAAGTATAAATGGACTTGGACCACTTTCAAAATAAACAGCTTTTAACTTTTCTAAGATGATCACTTTATGTAAAATGACTGAAGCCAATGAATCCTTCTGTGGTAGATCAAAAGAAAATTAACTCTTCATACCAACTATTCTTATTTATCTATAAATTTTATCTATTATTTGTTTCTGTTTTTCTTCTTCTTTTTCTCTCTAAGTTTAAAAATGAGGATGCACAGACTCGATAACTCAAAGGAAAACAAATATCCATAGTGATTTAGGAATAGGCTGCGAAAAATGAAAATTAAAATAACTTGAAAGTTATTTACCATAGTTTTGAAATTAACAATTTTGAGAAGGACGGTTTATACTAGACGTAAATATCTAAATGATGTTCAAACAGTCATAAATAATATTAATCAGATCAGTCGGAGGGTCAAGCTAACAGTATTCTATTGATTATTATCTAATTTTTTTTTTTATTCACTTCTAGTGAGTGTAATTAAAGGGAATATAAAACAAATAAATAAGATGCAATCTTTATCTTCCACACATGGATATGTAACATATAGTAAAAGTATTGATTAGACTGATTAAATTAGTGTTATAAATTCTATGATAACAAGAGTACATGTAAAATTGACTTAATCATCACCTTTAACATTTCATGCTCACGATGCTTAACTTAACTATCCAATTAATAGATAATAGTAATTAAATAGAAATTACACTTGATTTTATATTTTAAAAATATGAATGTAAGCAAATCTTAATTTTTAAAAACAATATTGAATATTTTTCTCAAAAATAAATAAATAAAATACTTACTTCCCTTAATTTTTCAGATAGTTCACCAAGAATAGCTTCTTCATCAAAAAACTTCCCTTGATACCGATGTTCAAAATATTCAGTAATTCTTTGCCTCATTTCTCTTGGAAGTTTTCGATAAGCCATATATTCTTCAACTTGTTTTACCTGAATTATAATTAAAATAAATTAATATAATATAAATCCCTTATTTTGTAATAGTGAAATGAAAGGAAGTTCAATGTTTATAATGCATAATCAAATGTTTTTCTTAGCATTTACCACAATTAAGTACTATTTGGCATTAATTATATATCTCTAATATAAATTATGAATGATTAAAATAATAAATAAATATCAAGAATGACTAACGAATTATCTAATTTTTTTTTCAGTTACAGCCATAGATTTTTTCAAACATTTATTTTAGTTTACAGGTTAGTTATAGTTTAGATCAAACTTATAGTTTTTTCAATGAGTAACTAGAAAAGATTGCTGTGATAAAAACACTAGCAATTATTTAATTCATTTTTGATATCCAAGAATCCACTATGGATTTGTTTACTTGAATTCTTGTACAAGAAGGGAAGCAATCAAAGAGTTGAAGCAGTACCAGCCTTGAACATTTAGTGCTCCCGGACAATGACTCCATCTCTCCCCCCAAAAAATTTAATTTATTACTTAAATTTGTTTTATATTAAGTAATATTTTAATTTTAATTCATTCAATATATCTGTAATTCAGTTGCTTTATTAATAGACTAAAATAAATTATTCTCACATGCTTTGTAACTTTTTTTTCTTATTTCTAACAATTGGCGGACTCCCCCTTCTAGATTGGCGCCCTAGGGCAATTGTATGGGTTGCCCTGCCCTAAGGCCGGCACTGAATTGAAGGGTTATAATTTGATTACAAAATGTATAAATTTACATATATTGAAGAGTTTAATGGTTCTGAGTCCAAGACCTTTTCATAGATTTGTTCTTAAGAATTAATCTATTGAGTATTACCTTACATAAGTAAACATCAAGGGAAAAGCAATTTTTTATTGGAGAACTTAATTTAAACTATCAAAATGTCTTTCTAATTAATTAGTTAATTTTAGAATGACCAATTAGATGTGACAAATCAGAATGACTGATCTGGGAGCTAAAAGGATTAAGTTATAAGAAAACTAGGCTCTGTATGATTAAGAAGGCTCTCAAGAAAGAAAAATGGAAACCTTTCTGTTGATATGAGGTGGTTTAATTATTTTGAAATTTAAAGGTATACTATCATAGACTAAAATTTATTCCTATTAAATATATTGCTTTTCGGTAGAGATAAATAATATTTTATGAATTCATCTATAAATGATTAAGGAAAGGATATCATAGTGTCAGTTAATGGAGTCGGTTATCCTTAGTTTGGTAATGACTAAATATAATAACAATAACTAGATTCAATTGAATTTAATCTTAAAGGGACTTTAGTATCTTTTCTTTCATTTTAGTTTAATGATCTAAATATATTACCCTTTCTCTATATTGTCTGCGTGAAGAATCTAAACTCTGGATTAAGTTAGTAGCATGCCCTAAGAATAGAGCATAACAGGTTGCTCCACTTATCATGGATAGCATAGTAAGCCACATGTCTGTGAGTGACTGTGGAGGGAACCTTCCATAACCAATACATAACATGTGGGACATGGCTTTGAACAATGCCCATGAATACTGCTCCAACCAAAATGCTTCCTGTTCAGAAATCAAACAAATTAATAGTTATTTTTCAGCTAAACATATAAAGAAAAAATATCAAGGAAATAATTATATAATTTAGAAATAACCTAATTAATAAAAAAAATTATAAATTACTATATTTGGTGTGAAGTGTGAATTTATTCCTTCCTCACTAAAACCATAGTATATATGTATTATGACCAAATGTTATACTGCTCAATAAATAAAAAAAAAATAAAAAAAAAAGAAATGACTAAATTCTTTACAAAAGGAACATTTTCAAACTTAGCATACTTAATACACAAACACAAGTATTTTAATATACTTCTTTGATAAGAATAGGATGAATAGTAGTATATCTAATAATGAAAAGCTAGCTAGACATGGTTAGATAAGTTTAAATTGATCAAATTCAGTTTTATTGATAGGAATGGAAGACACACAAATTAATGATTCACTAGGACCATAGAGAATAGAGAGAAGTAGAGAGATAATAAGGTTAATTACTTGTCTTAGTTAAATTAATAAACAAGTTTTTAACAAGGGAAAACATGAGATTTTCTGTTTCACCTTGACAAATTTTGCTTTCTATTCAAAACAAAAAAAAAGAGGAGAAATATAAACTCCTCTCTTCCTGGAGGTAAGTGATAGGGATGGAAGACATTTGTAAACCTATATTCAATATTAGTGCACATTAAGGTACTATAAAGAACATTTTAATTAGTGATTCCACAAAATGTGAGTTTCTAGCAGAAGACCTGCTGTCTTACATTAGATGTGAAATTTAATCTCATAGGTCAATTTTTTATTTATGTATTGACTATTCCAATGCACTATTGCCATGATTTTAGTATGTTTGTGGTCACGAAAATAACATTTCATTTCTCCTCCTCAATTTCTCCACAGGTTAAGCCCAAATAATAAAAAAAATGGTCTAAAATTTAACAAAAAATAACAATGTTGTTAATAAACAACTTTCGTAATTATATCTTTTCTTCCTTACTTAAGAGAAAATATTTTAAAATCAAAATTGATAACGCTTTCCTTGAAATTCAAAAAAACATTTTTTTCAGTTATATTTTATCATGAATCATAAAATCCTTGGATACACTTAAGTAATCAAAAAGATATTGAGGAACTCACTAAAACACTGATAAGAGAAATAGAGCAGATCGGCTTACAAGTAAATAAAGACAAAACGAAATATATGATAAGTCGAAAATTCCACCCCAATAACAGGATCTGTATAGAAGGAAAATAATTTCTGAGAGTAGAAGAATTAAATACCTCAGCTCTACAATAACCTCAATGAATGACCAATGGGCAGAAACAGACTAGCATATAACTAGCACAAACAGAGCTTTCAAAGTTATTGAAGTCCCGAAAAATCTCAAGAAATCTCAAACTAATGATGATACATGACAAAGCCAGTTCTAAAATATGGCCGTGAGATCTGGAAAAAATTGTTGAAAGATTAGAGAGGAAAATCCTCTGCATGATAACCACAGCAATCTGGGATCAGAGTACTAACACAAGGAGAAGAAAGACTAATTAAGAACTGGTTACAGAAACTGGTCAATCAATATCCCACGATATGAAGGCATATAGGTTTCAGCAATCCATCTGGAAGCCTCTATGTAACAATGAATGACTCAATAGAAGGCAAAAGACCACGTGGAAGGCCAAAAAGCAGATGGATAGATAGAATCAACAAAGATGCAACAGAGCTGCAGGCAGATAAATGGAAAGAAATAGCACAAGATAGGCAGAAATGGAGCAGACTTGTTAAGGTGGCAAAAGATCTACATGTTCTGTAATGCAAACAGAAAAAAAAAATCTATTATCATGAAAAAGGCATAGCATTTTTTGTAAATATATAATTACGTAAAATGTGAAAGTTTCAGCTTAAATATATATATACACACACATATATCAGAGGTTCTTATAATAAAATTTCAAAGAATAATAAAGTTTTAGGTTTACAGTAAAAGTTTGACTTTTATTTATTTAAGTTCTTGAATAAAGTTATGTTAAATGAGAAATAAACAGTAATTGGGCTTAGATTAGAGTTGTAATTTTCTTAAATGAATTACTTGATTCTAATCTGTCATTTGTTTGAGTAGCTACTGGTACTGATGAGGAGAACTAGTCCAGTAAGTGGGGTTTGTGGTACTTTTTGCCAAGATATGAGGAATACCTTAAGATTAATGCCACATACTTGACAGAGTGGAAATGTCAAGACTCATCTCTCGGGGCCGCATAGAAATAAATATTGACAAACCCAGGTGGGAATTCGATGGGAGCTACATGCTCAGAACAATTCATCAGAAAAATTCTACACAACAATGATTGCCTCAATAGTAGATAACTGATCACATACTCTGCAGAGTTGCATCCAGAAAACTGGGAAGCAATTGTCCAAGATAGACAGAGGTGGAAAAGAATGATTAAGGAGGCAAAAGATCTAAAAGGCCTGTATAGTCAACAGAAATGAAATTTAAGTATGAGATTAGTACATAAAAATGAAATTATATCAGGCAAAAAGTCATTTTAAAGTAATAAAAATTAAGTTTTACTCATAATGATGGGAAATATATAAATCAAAACACAACCATAGGCTTTTACAAAACCGTATAAAAATGATCAACTCTCTAACTCTCCAAAAAAAAAAAAGAACAAATTAGAAAGAATGATTTCTGGAGATAATCCACACACTACTCAAACACTAATTTTTAACGGATCCGTCTAAATCATATTTTTCCTCTGAATCTTTTTGGCTACCTCTAGTTCCACCTATAAGTCCAGATTGCATTAGCTTTAACGATCCTATACTGCAGAGGTGAATGAAATCACAGTAGTCCTCAAGTGATCTATAATGATGCCTATAAAAAATATCACCACAGCCTTACATTTACAGTGACCATCAACAGATTGACAGAAAAGCAAATCCATTTAATAAAAAAGATAGTTTAAAATATATAAATATATTTTATAATAGTATAAATATAATACAATATACAGCAGTAAGGTTTCAGGACAGTTTTATATAATTAATGCTCAATGTTTCTATCTTTATTTTGATCTCTCAAATGAAACAAATTTCTATAGAAAAAAGTTAGATATATTAAATAATCTTATTTTAGTTTTATAACGGTAAAGGGAGGAGGTACAGAGACGTTTCTTGACAATCTAAGTACTAAGTAAGTACTTTCTGATCTTCTCTTCTTCTGTATTATTGGCCTTATTTTTGTAAATATCTGTATAGATCAATTGACTTTTTTTAAATCCATTTTAATGGCTATATAATAAGTAGATTTACCAGTATATATCCTCCAAGCTATATTGTGTGCCTCTGCTGTTTCTAGTATATGATTACTTGTTTCATAGTTTATTTTTGTAACATTCTTAACACTAAAAAAATGTTAAGAAAATAAAAAATGTACTAATTACCTGTAATTCATTTATAGCCACCCATGAATTAGAAGGAAAACCTTGAAGCATTGGCACAAGAAACTGCAAACATCCAGACCAATGTCCAATCAAAAGCATCATGCAGATAAGGTTGAAAATTCTCATGAAGACACTTGCCATATTAAGAAACTGAAAATAAGAAAGGCAAATGTCAGTAAAAGAAATATACATTTATATTATTTTTTTACAACAGAACCTATAATACAAAGTTTTTGAGTAACTGAAGATCAATCAGCGATGGCTCCTTTCATCTATGATCCTCTCATACCTTTAGTTAATAAAAAGGGTGATATTAAAATTTATATACAGCTTTCTTTTTTAATTTAATTTTTTTTTTTAGATGTTAACAAGAAGATCCATGCTACCAGCTTTAAATGTTAAAATTTATGTTGCTCTTGGTTAATTTCAATGCTTTTAGTGATTTTAGGAGGCCATGTTATATTTAGATTAGAAATGAGTTATGCATGTTTCTATTCTTTAGTTCCTTATTATATACTAGAATTATAAATTACCAATTGAAAAAGTTCATTTTTATAAGCACACCATGCATATTTCTATTATTCCAGTAATATTGCATTTTAAATAAATAAATTAAGCCAAATTATTCTTATTTACTCTTGCTGGCAATAAGCATGGAAGCAGAAAACTAAAGCGACAGAAATAATAGCAGATGTTAAGATATGAGGAAAACAGCAATTTTTTGACATCTTCAACGTTTTTTATATGAAGATAAAGCATTTTTAAAACTTCAAATAATATGTAAAGGTATAATTAAAAAAAGGTGCAATGAATCTATTTACAGAGCAATATTGATATGATACACATAATTAGATTTTTGTTTTCAATTATTGGTTAAATTTTTCTAGAAGCGATGCATAACAGCCGTACAACTAAAAGCAGAAAAACAAACAAACATAAAAAAAAATAATAAAAATAAAACTGACACCATTAATACTAAAGAATATAATATAAAAGAGCTAAAAGCTCCAACAGAGACATGAAATAATTGTTAGAATACAATTGGAAGAATCCAAACCCAAAGATTTGAGTCTCTAACAAGTAGGCGAACAGTTAACCAATCAACAATTTTCGAATTTTGGCATTATTAAGGTTGAAAAACAAAACAAAATAACATATACACAGACCAAATGCAATATATTTCACATAAAAAAATTGACATCACTCCAAGCAATCTCAACATATACTCTACATTTTCTGTACATATACTGGAGTATGTGTTCAGATAGCTTGGTGGGATATCCAGCCCTTCTTGAATTTTTGATATGAGTTATGCTGGATTTTCTATGGGTTAATGTGATCTTGTGTTTTTTTGTCCTGATTATAGCTGAATTGGGAAAACATTGACAGGTTGATTATTTACTAGTATATCGGAAACTTTAGTGTAGTATTGTGTTTTGGATACTTCCAATTATATTCTAAAAATAGTTTAATTTTATTGGTGTTAACAGATAAATTTATAAATAATTGAAAGCATACATTTACTTGGTCAAATATATAACAAATTTAAAACTACCAAATGTGATAATAAAAGTAATATCTGGTATCCATATAATAATAGGATATGAGTAATATCACCTAAAATACTGTTCTTTTCTAATGACCTATAATCATTACAAAACTGAATAATATATTTAATATACTGAAATGTTTTCTCATTTAACTAATCTTGTTTTTGTGTCTTAATGTTTTAAAGCATAAAACCTGTAGATTATTAATGCTCCGTTTTAGAAATATATATATAAATGACACCACAGTTTATTGTGCAGTGCTTTATCTTCTATGATGCTAGTGCAGTCTCCCTTCCTCCATTCAAATATACACACACGCGTGCGCACGTGCACACACGCACTCACGCATGCTTGCACGCACGCACACATACATACATACATCGACATACGCATGTGCGTATATAAACACACAAACACACACATACATGAAGTATTTTAAATCTTATTTTGCTACTCTGAGCATTAGTGTGGAATTAACAATTTTATTTTAACAGGAAAAAAGTATAATTAAGATTAAATGTATTATTTGTGTTTATTGTATAAAATGTGTGTGGTTATTATTTTTTACAAATGAATGATAGAAATGTTGTATATACAAACCCGATTATAAAGCCGTAGTTCATGCACTGGAGAAGCGAGCGGCTAGAGGCCTGCCAGAGAAAGAAGAAGCATGCAAGACAACCGGGGAGAGGTTGGGAGGGTAGGATATGAGATTGTTCCTACCAAGGTGGGGTTACCTTAAAAATGAGATTGCTTTTGCTGAACTTTGATTCTTTCTGTGGGTCAGAGCTGAGACGACCTCTTCGTTCAGTCCGCTTTTTTTGAAGATTCTGCAAGATCTAGAAAAACAAGAAGCGAGAAAAAAATACCACAAGGTGTATAGAAAAAAAGAAGGATTAACAGTTTCCTGAAAGGTAGAAGCGAACAGAAAGGCACTTGATCGAGGTACAGATAATGGGTCCAAAAGGTGTAGAGTAAAATAATAGGCTATAATTAAAATTGAATAAATTAAATTTAAAAAGCAGGTTATAGGAAATATTAAATGATAGTTTATCACTTGGGTCAACATAGAAATTTGATATGAGGAATAGTTATAAATTAAAAGGACAATAGAAAATGAAAAGGAGAATAAGTTGGAATGAATTTCTCACATTGTTTTTCTGCAGAGTTTTCTTCCAAAACACTCTTCAAAAACAGCATCTGGCGAGAGGCACTAACAGTAGCATTACTTAGAACATTACTGTTCTAAATTTAAAAATTAGTAAACTAAAATTAATTTTCAACAAGACCATGGGTTACAGCCTACTTAACACTCATTATGCCACTTAAAAAGAGTGCATAAGAAGCAAATGTTCTTCAAAGAGCTGTTCTTTACAGCCAAAAGACAGATCAAATTCTGTAATAAATAGTTTAAAATGTGTGTTGTGGGTGTTAACATATATAACAGTAATTTTTTTTTTAACATAGGAGAAATATTCTTTTAAAATTTATATTCATGGAATTAAATATTTCATCTATTAGTCATCAAATTAAATTGATTTTCAGTTCAAAGTTTTTAATTAATCATGAATCAAAATTCTTCACAGTTTGCATGAGTTTTGCATTAGTTTGTGGTTCTAGCAAAAATAATAACTTGATATAGATGTATATTCTTTAAAATAGTATGCTTTCAATCACATAGGTCCTACTTCTCAACAATGGAAGAGTAAATTTAATAAAATAATGATAAGATGTCAATAAATGTTAGGATGAACCTTTTAATGCATCGCAAGTATATTGTAAAAAAAAAGTAAAGAAATTAAATGTTTTTTATAACTGCATATTTACTAAAATATTTAAGAAGTATTGTTATAAGTAATACAACTTCTTCTCCTAAAATATATATAAAAATTAACAGTAGCCAGATCATTTTTTTTTTTAAATCACTTTCGCCTAGATATTTAAAATATTTTTGTTGTGCATCAGTTTTTATAATAATTATATTTTGATCATTTAAAAAAAAACATTTGCATGAATATGAATATAGATTTTTTAAAATTAGTTTAAATAAATTTTATTTTAAAATGAATATATGTAGTTGTAAATGTATATATGTTTAATAGCTACCATCTAATACTTATCAGATGCAGAAAAAGAATCTGCATAATTTTCCATGCATTAAAGAACCATAACACCAGCATAAGAAACATTCTAGGACATGCTTCATTTTGAATGCAAAAATAATTTCTAATCAAGCATTCAAGCCTTGAAGGAAGGGAAAATATGGGTACTGTTGAATATTATAGAATGGTTTACATATACGATGATGTTAATGTAATGCTTTATTAAAGTACACATACAACACTATTATGATACATAATTGGGCCGCCAACTCACTATATTTGACACATCCAAAAGGAGAATTAGTTTTTATAATTATTATTATCAATATGATGATAATTAAATAATTAAAAGACATGTGTCATGATATTTAAAATACTGAAAATCACTGGCATGTATATACTTTTTGTGAGTCCTTTACTATGTAGTAATAGAGTTGGTAACCCTATATATGGCTCAAATATTATGCAAGTTTTCCAATCGTAATCAAACAAATATAGTTACATACACAACATTATAGACAAACCAGACACATACTTATTAAAAAAACACACAACAAAACTAGTAATTTTAATGAATAGAAAACTTAAACTAAACAATATAGAAATTTAAAAAATAAACAAATAAAAAATATATAAAAGGCATTAGCACATTAGTCTTTTGGGTATTATTTACATTTTACATCTAAAAGATGGATGGTAGGATGTTTGAATAAAATTCTATATCATTCACAGCTTACTTACACACTACCATAAACAATAACCACACACGGATGAAAGTATAATAAAGGGGTGAAAAAAAATAAAATAAAAAACCTATAGCCTGGTATTATTAAGAATATAAAAGTTGAATTTAGATGTCAATTTTTTTTTTTTTTTGTTCTTTTGATTTAATAATCATTACAACTCATAAATGACCATCATTTATTGATAACTAGAATTAGCTGAATAAACCAGACTATACTTAAACAGTTGGTTTTGACCATCTATTTATTTTCCAAGTTGCAGTAACAAATAATTAGCAACATTTACAAATATCAAGATTCCGTCCTTTCAGTTCTTACTTTGGAACTGACAGAGCTACTTGTTTCTTCTTGTTCCTTCTTGGGAGTCACAGAGAGCTAGCAAAACAATAGAAGCATCTGCTAAATTTTTAAGCCCATAAAATCACAAAATATAAGTAACAGTTCCTCTTTTTACAATGTGATTTCCAATAAGACGGAGATTAATACATAATAATTGAATTTAATTACAAACAAATATATATATATATATATATATATATATATATATATATATATATATATATATATAAATGTGTGTGTGTGTATAAAAATAAAAATACATCTAGTATCTACACAATTATTTATTTTTAAAATTAATATAATTTTTAAAATAAATTAAAATATATAATGTATCAGTAACTACTCACACTCCCCAACTGGCCACTTACTTATATATGGCTAAAATGTAAAATGCTATCCCCAAAAATGTTCCTCTCATATTTCAAATTTCTTGGAATTGAAAATTTCCTCAACATAGTTGCTTTGAATATAATTTCCTTACTTTTCATATAATAATTAGAATATATTAGATACCTCTATAACATGAAAAATTGGGCACTGGACTGACTTTACTTAATGAATAGAGGAATATTGAAAATGAATTATAAAAAGAAAAAAAAATCTCACTACTAAGAATTAGTAAGTTTTCTTAGAGTCTCTTTAGTACAACAAATTTCTTTAAGCAATAATCATAATATTTTAGTTTTCGCTAAAATACTGAAATTATGAACCACACCTAGAAAACATTCTACAATTAAGTTTTAATGTGATATCCTTGAAAGGAAAACACAAATATTCAATTAGGGATGAAATTTCAGTTAGAATCGGATTTTTAAATAATTAAAAAAAGTTCCAGTAATTTGACATAATAATACAGTCCACATCAATTGCTCAAATGATAGAATGGTATAATTTTTTTTTAATTCTACCTCAAAAAGTGTTTAAGTTATTGAGTGAGTAGGAAAAGTAGTTACTGAGACAATTTTCATATAGATATCCATAACTCCAAAAATCAATTATAAATAGATCAAATGAAAAAAAAGGATTAAATTGGATAATAATAGGAAACATTTATAAGAGTAAAATTGAATAAACAGTTATAGACTTTACGAATAAATATTGTATATAAATAATTAAAAATGAATCCTTTGAATATATAGAATAGAATAGAATAGAAAATAAACTTTATTCTGGAACAATGTCTCTTAAGAATAACTATACATACACATACATACATTCATATTAAATAGTTAAGGGAAGTAATAATCTAGGGGAAGACGGTCAGGGTGAAAATTACAACAAAAAATATTAATTGAATGTAATCATTTGGATCTACATTACGTAAGCCTCAAGGAGATATAAAGTTTTCATATTAGAGAGTGGCAAGACAGAATAAAGGAAAATCTCAGGTAGATAAAATATTTCAAACTCTGAAATACTATACTAAGTAGTTTGTTGTTATTACGATTATTAAATATTTTTATATGAACCAAAATGTATATAGAGCAACAAATTTAAAAAAAAAATTACTTTTCTTGAATTGTTGGCAAACTTTTTGTATTATGTTATGCTTTATTTTCTTTCAAATAATTTAGGGGGCAACTTCCCCACCTTCTTTCCTGCGTATACCCACTGTAGGCTCTTCTTCAAGACTGAGAATCTATAAATTACTGTATGTACTGAATATGCAGGGATTCCGCAAGCAGAGCAAAATATTTAAAAGGTTGATGCCTCACATCAAGATCTACAAAAAAGTTCATATAAATAATTGCCTAATTTCCAGCAGAAAAGTAGTAAATTTAAGATTTGTTTTGTTGAATAGGAAGCGATAACATAAAAGATATTTGATTTGAGTAACTAAACATTGCTCCATAGTAAACTAGACAAAGTTTACTTTTAAGGAAATCAAAGTTTGACATTGTTAAAACTATTTAAAGGGAACTTATGAGCGACTAAACACAGATAAGTTCCTTTAAAATAAAAGTAAAATCATTTATGATTATTTTTCATCAACCTTCATCTATACCACTTTTACAAAAGCTTCATCGTTTAATAAACTTTGAGTCCATATTATTTAAGTTGAGGTTTATACGAAAAAAATTTAAGATTCGCCTTAAGTTTTGTAAAGAAATGATTTATTTTAAACGTAAATCTTTGTAAGAAACATTAAGTTTGTCACTGATAAATACATATCAATTTCTATGAGTGAGATCTGGGAGAAAAACACAATTTCATAACCACCTTCTATGAAAAATATTTCAAAAATCGTTATTTTAAATTTTATTATTTTTATAAATAAAATATATATTTAGCCAATTATTTTTATTAGAAAACATCCCAGATCATAGAAAAACACGAAATAAAAGCTTTGCAACAGTTAAATGTAGTCATTTTTGTAGAAAACACGGGTACTTTAAGGTGACTGGATAGGAAATCACATAATTTCTTTACACAACTTAAGGCGAATCTTAAAATTTTTCCGTATAAACCTCAACTTAAATAATATGGACTTGAAGTTTATCAAACGAGGAAGTTTTTGTAAAAGTGGGGTAACAGTAGTACAGATGAAGGGTGATAAAAAAAAATCACAAATAATTTATGACATTTTTTTAAACGAAACTTAGCTGTGTTTAGCCGCTCAAAATCCCCTTTAAATAGTAATGACAATGACAAACC